TTTTTAAAGGTTTTGACATCTAACAAACCACTTTATTCTTTACTCTTGCTTGCATTAATTAGTATTAGAGCCCCGCAACCATGGTTATTTTACTTTGTTGTTTGATGTAGAACAACTATAATTGAAAAAAGCTATATAACAAGGTGTGTTTGTATAAAAGAAAAGATTTCTTCATGAAAAAAAATCTCCATGAACTACTTTGTTATTTTTGTTGGTGTCAATTGATATAAAAGCTCAATAATTTCAGGTTATTATTTGCTATATATTACAATTCTAAACTATTTTGTTTATTGTGGGCTATTAAAGAACCATGACTCGAAAAAAACTCAATGATCATTAATGATTATTTTGCTATACTATGTGCTATAGAAAAACCATAGCTAGACGAGGATGATGCATAATATAATGTGCTTGTTGAGAATAGTACAAGGAAGTTTTTTCTCAAGAAAAATAAGTTAAAAAACTAGTATGTTGTTTTTGTTTATATCAATTGCTATCATTTGAAATTTTGATAGAAAATAATGAGATGAATTACACAAAAATATTGTATTAGAGATCTACGATGAGGTGAATTACGTATAAAAAAATGTTCATGATAAAAAATAATTTTTAACTAGAGACTGAACTCGAAGACAAGGTTTTCTCAACTTGGAGAGACTCAAGCAAGATCTTTTATATATATATATAGGAAAATAGATATTTTTTTATTTTTTACTATGATGATTTTTTAGGTTTTTTATTCTATTTGAAGGGAATATTTTTTCTAGTTCACTTTTTTCTATTAAGTATTATTATGGTTTTTATATTTTTCTATATAAAAGGTTGCAATAGTCTTTCACAAGTGGAGGTTTAAATACATAAATTTTTTTTTAAGTATTTTAATTCTCCTCGTATTTATGGTGTTTGTTTTTGTTATTGAGAGTTTTGAAATACAACAAATCTCTTTATCTTTTATTTTTGTTTGCATCAACCCGTATTGAAGCCCAATAATCTTTAATGATTATTTTATTTTGTTGTGTGCTGTAAAATAACTATAACTGAAATAAATTATAAAACAGAATGTAATTATATAAATGGAGATGAGAAGTTCCAAGAACTAATTTGTTGCTTCTGTATGTATTACTTATAATAATTGAGGTTGCATGACCCTTATATTAGTTACTATCACAAGAAAGCCATACAATTGTAATTATGAAGTAAAGAGTTTTCTTAACATGTCTGTTCATCAAAACGACCAAACAACAAACAATATTTTTCAAGAAGGAAGTAAATCAATTGTCAGTTTTTAAACTTTTTTGTGAAGTAGTATTGAAGGAGCATGTTCAAAAAAAGCCAAATAATTTCTTTCCACCATTTTAGATTTTTCCTTTCATAATTCTAATTAGTTTATTGACTTCTCATTGCATATATAGGTTTGAAATTATTGAAAAAAAATAAAAAATTGCTTAATATTCAATATAAACACAATCTTGAGCAAGTCGGAGAACACCAGGTCGACGAGTCAAAACATACCGTGCGGCATGCCTCCCTAAATTCCTGAAATGTCAAAGATTGCCTAAACAAACTGGCTGAAAGCATGTGGCTTTCTAGATTATCCCTTCCCATGTGTTCTGTAACCACTAGCTCCACCCTTGTTTGTTTAGTCTGATTAGTAATAATTTAGATCGGTTTAACGGGTTAATCTAGATTTTAGATATGCCCGGGTTTCATGAAAAATAAAAAAAGAGTTAATTTTTAGTGTTACTATTAAGATTGACTTAAGACCTAATCAAAATCCATTGAAGCTTTTTTTTTAAAAAAATTGAAAGTAATAGTAAGCATTATAGTAAAATCGAATTCATTAAGTTGAGCACTAATTTGCGCTAGAATATACTAATAGACGACACAGAATGAAGGGTTGCAGAGACAAAATACAAGAGAATTAGAAAGTGGGATCACCTTAGATGGGCTTTTTCTGTCAACCAATATTTCACTCTTGCAAAGCGACTTAATTTCTTCTTTAGCAAGGCTTATCGATCATACAGTTATGAACACATGGTGCGACAGCTCAACAGGATTGCAAGTCAGCTGATAATCCAGATATGCAACACCTGGAGAACCAGTTAGTGAAATTGCATGCCTCCTCTCTTCAAGTCATCCTTTCCAGAGGAAAAATGAAATGTAGCCAGCACCTTAACTATTGCCAGAGTTCCAGCTACGTACTATTATACATGCTGTATAATGCAATTGATTGTTGAGTTAATTATAACTTAATTAGTATTTAATCAGTAAATAAACTTAGTTTTGGTGTGTGAAAACTGCTACTTCTGGTTTATCAACTGATCAGCGTGATTGAGTTAGAAAACAACAGGTGTAGTTTTTTTTTTAATTAATATTATTATCCCTTTTTCATTCAATCAAGGAAATTTATTTGATTAGAAATATGAGAGCCCCCTTTAATTACATGGGACATTAGAGCCCGATTAAATGCCCAAGCCCAGGAGTGAAAATACAGAAAAAAACCCGTAAAATCAAGGACTCGTATTATATTTGCAGGGATGCACCAAAAGTGCTGGGTGGAGTTGTCTCCAATACCTTTCCTCCCCTCTTATGCTATTCGATAGTTGTTAAGCTCATGATTCATGGTTTTTTCTTTTGTGGTTGGATAAAAATACAAAAATTATCTCGATACTAAACAATATCTGAATATGAACTCGATATCTTTTATTTGGATTTGGATATTCGCAATCCTCTGCTAGTTTTCTTAGTATTTTTTTTTAAGGATTCTCATTACCCTACCCAGATAAGAATGGCAAGTAATTAGCCACTTGATCTTTGGCAAAGAGTTGAAGTTTGTCTTATTTTTGGGAGTTTCTACCTCGTGACTAAGGCTAAAACGCTAGATCATCAATTGAAGACAAGGGCCTGTCCTCTTCAGTAACCCTTTCTTTCTCTAGTGCCAAATATTATTCCTTTCTCGGACACCACCAAGCTTAGCTCAACAAAGAGAATCCATCCAAATTAAGATGAAAGAACTAGCCAAGCTCCTTCATCACATCACACACCATCGTGGGTCCTTCACGTTTTGTCTTAAATCTCCACCTCTAATACAATCTCCTAGGTTTAGCTGAATTTCTGGTCCTTCTCCTTGCTAGTAACCATGCCAGGCTACTACGGTACGAAATGGCAACTGAATGCTTTCCCTTGAAAACACCCCCACTAAACATTGTCATGATCGATAAGCTGCATTTCATAGGAAAATCTCGAATTTTTTTTCTCTTGTCTTTCTAGCTCCTCTCACAAACTAATCTAAACAAGAACTGCCAAAAGAATATTAAGCGTTTCTATGCATACAATCACATGCTTTCTCTACCAAGGATAATAACTAGACGTTGAACTTACAACCCCCATGAATGAATAATGGATATCTGATCTCAATTTTGTATTTAGCGAGTGTTTTTGATCGCCTTTTGACCCTCTGCTACTAACCTATTCTGAATAATTTGATCAATATGACCAAACCTAGTCAACTGATTTTTAAAATTTCTCTCTTTATATTCATCACTAGTAGTTATTATGAAAATAACATTGGACTTCTCTTTTTCTCATACCCTTACAAAAAACATGGTACTCAACAATATGATATTACATGGTCTTAATTCCTTTTCTAGATAAAATAAAGCAATGCTTGTAAAAGAATGAAAGAATATTGAATGTGTGTGGTAGATTCAATGAACTTTCTTTGTGCCTAAAATTAATCTCCAAAAGTATTCATCAATGGGAAGTGGGAACATCCCTCAAAAAGGAACTCACGCACAAGGGGAGCCAACACATAGACCAATGTAGGTCATTGCTATTGTCATTGATTCCATCATCATCACCACTAAATAGACAAAGATCACACAAAAATAAAGTGAGAAAAGAAGAAAATAATTAACAATTAGGTAAGTGGGTGCATAAAAATATTGCTGTAACTTCCACTTACATGTATATTCAGCTTCTCACAGTGATGATGTGGTATACCACTAACCTCACAAAGACATGGTCTATCTTTGAGGATATGATTTTATGAGATTCATCTATAAAAAAAGAGCATTTAGGGACCACTAGAAATTAGTCCCCAACTTATATATATAGTTATTAAAAATCCAATCCTAAACCTCTAGAATCTTGCTAATTTCTCCCCAAGCTTCCTTTGGTTAAGCATGTTTTCATCATCTCTATATTTGTATTCTGCACATAGAATTGGCATCTGAAGCTCACTTTCCTCTGCTCTCACCATTGCTATAGATTGAATTGAAAGAGGAAGGAGATGGTGATACAATCGGATAACATCAGTGTTTTAAATGACTTACAACTAAATATAACTAATGAAAAGCTCTTAAAGCTCCGTTTAGTAACGTGATTTAATCTGTTTTTATAAGTGTTTTTCACGTATCAAATTCATGCTTTTTATTAATGGATATTCGGCCTTAAACATAGAATAAATTGAACGTTTTGAAAAAATAAAAATATATGTAAGTATAGATTGAATTGGATAACATTAATTGTTTTTTAGAGTTGATATTTTGAACTTATCTTGTTATATAAAAAGAATTATTCAAATTATCTCCATATCTCTATCCAAAATTTGGATACCCCTGTAATCTAAAATTCGTATTTCAACAAAGATGACACTTGAAATCAATATCCATATCCGAATCCATTAGTCGAGTACGAGCACGTAAATCTAGGGAAAATGGGGCTAGATCTTGAAGGTTGAGAACTCATATGTAAATTAGCATATAAATTTGGGATTGAATTGTAGTTATCTCATGCATCTATTGTGAACGAGGAATGGGGCTAGATATTCAAGAACTCCCCCCACCAAAGGTTCCACACCTAAAGTTAAAAACTTCAATCTACTTTTGGCTTTTTCCAAAGGTTTTTCGTCTCTTTGTCCTGATGCAGGAAGACAGTAACAAGTGGATAGTCTAATGGTCTAATGCCCTTTGAGGAGAAACAAATAGTGGTTTTGTTGGCACTTGTAAGGATTTGCCTTGCAATGCCCACTATCACCCACTAAGCAACAAGCAGTGGTGTTGTTTTGTTTTGTTGGGGCACCCTTGTATTCTTGTTGTGTTCGAGCATAAAACACATGCTTTTGGCCAGCTGTGATTCCCATCCACTCCACTCCATGACAAGAGTGTTTCTAGAGAGACTGATACAGACAACACAGAATTTAGAGAGAGAGAGGTAATCTAGGGGGCTCTGGTTTTCAAGAAATTCCATTATTCCCTCTGATCCCCCTCCATGGACAACAAAACAAGTAGTGACAAAAACAACCACTTGTTTTGTCTCCAAAGCAAACATGGAAAGTACCCTAAAAGCCAAGAGCTTTAATTCCCATTTCACTGCTCGTTTTGTAAACAAAAGGTTAGGCCAGAGAGGAAACCTTTGTAGAGTAGAGCGGATAGCTCTTGGTTCACTTTGATGGATTAGGAGAATTGTGGGACCAAGCTTGAAACTTTCTTCAGGATTTTGGGTGGGTTTCTTGTGAATTTCAAAACCCAGTTGTGGATGATTCAGTGTTGGTTTTGAACTGAAATTCACAGGAGAAAATCAGTGAACTCTCCCTGGTAATTCCCCGCCTTTGTTTCTTGTTTTGGCACATAATTGAGCAGATTTCTGAACTCTTCTTCATTTTTTGTCAGAAAACTTAAACCAGTAGAGCTTGCTTTTCTCCGTGTTCGTGTATTCTGTTTGGTTTCTTGCTGTGTTTGGTTACAGAGATTGCGTGGGAAAAGAACGGAAACTAGACTGTTTGATTGTAAGTGTGACTGTTGAGAAAAGAGATACTTACTGAAGGGTTCTTGACGTTGTACTCTTAAGAATTGAATGATATTTATCTGGAAATTTTTCTCAATTCCTCAGCTAAGAAGAAAGTTCCCTGAATTTAGCTTTACATTTCAGAGAAAAAAGAGATACTATTTGGCTTGTTCTGTTTACATTTCTCTGTTTCTTTGTAACAAGGAGTGTTAATTTTCTTCAGTGTTCCTGTCTTGGATTTTTTTTCTCTTCTTTTCCTAGGAATTTAACCATAACCTTATGTTTTGTGTTAGCGTGTATTTAGATATTCTAACAGGCTGTGATTAGTCATTTGGAAGATGTAAGAAAGCAAAAAATATACTTATTAACCCTTTAACCGAGATTAGTCCAAGAATCTTACTAAGATGATGGTAGAAAGGATCATGAACTTCTGTTTCTGGACTGTTTTACAATTTTCACTTAGATAAATGTTATGTAGTTTATTCATCGAACATGGACTTCTTTTTTCAGCATGTTTCATGTCATATTTTCTTGTTCAGGGTGTTGAGTTTGGTCTCGTCGTTAATGGTAGGAATGGTTCAAGAAGAGGGATCATCATCTGTAACTTCACCTTATCAATTCTTTCCATGGATGCCACTGCCGCCGGGGATAGGATCACCATACCCTTGGCTGAGGGAACTGAAATCTGAAGAGAGGGGTTTGTGTCTGATCCATCTTCTTCTTGCCTGCGCTAACCATGTAGCGGTTGGCAGTGTTGAGAATGCAAATATTAGCCTTGAGCACATCTCCCATCTTGCCTCTCCTGATGGTGATACGATGCAGCGAATTGCTGCTTACTTCACTGCAGCACTTGCTGATCGCATTCTTAAAGGATGGCCTGGTCTGCACAAAGCTCTCAATCCAAAACAAGTATCTTTGATATCTGAAGAAATTCTTGTTCAAAGATTATTTTTTGAGCTCTGTCCCTTTTTAAAGCTTTCATACGTGATCACAAATGAGGCCATTATAGAGGCCATGGAAGGGGAGAAGATGGTTCATATCATCGATCTCAATTCCTCTGAGCCTGCCCAGTGGATCAATCTTCTTCAAACATTAAGCGCACGGCCAGAAGGACCACCTCATCTGAGAATAACAGGTATTCATGAGAAGAAAGAGGTGTTAGAGCAAATGGCTCTTCGGCTGACTGAAGAAGCTGAAAAGCTAGACATCCCTTTTCAGTTCAATCCTATTGTGAGCAAACTAGAGAATCTTGACCTTGGAAATTTGCGGGTTAAGACTGGAGAAGCTCTTGCTGTCAGTTCTGTACTTCAGCTGCACGCTCTCCTGGCCATGGATGATGAGATGCATAAAAGGAACTCTCCATCAGGATCTAAGAATCCAAGCTCTAGCCATTTTCAGAGAGTCTTACGGATGAACCAAAACCGACATACTCTAGGTGAGTGGCTTGAGACAGATTTGGTCAATGTCTATAGCTCTAGTCCTGACTCAGCATTATCCCCACTATCTCTTTCTGCTTCACCGAAGATGGGCAGTTTCCTAAATGCACTTAGGAGTCTCTCACCGAAATTGATGGTGATAACTGAGCAGGAATCAAATCATAACGGGCTTAGTTTAATGGAGAGGGTCACAAAAGCTTTGAATTTTTATGCTGCACTATTTGATTGCTTGGAGTCTACTGTATCGAGAGCATCATTAGAGCGGCACAAGGTTGAGAAGATGCTATTTGGGGAGGAAATTAAGAACATCATCGCTTGTGAGGGAACTGAGAGAAAGGAGAGGCATGAGAAGTTGGAAAAATGGATCCTGAGGCTCGAGTTAGCTGGGTTTGGGAGCATTCCTCTGAGCTACCATGGTAGGCTGCAGGCAAACAGATTATTGCAGAGCTTTGGCTATGATGGATATAAAATCAAAGAAGAGAATGGATGTTTACTTATTTGCTGGCAGGATAGACCACTATTTTCTGTGTCAGCTTGGAGATTTAGGAGGTGCGATTGAAAGATTATCGAACATATGGGGACTGCTTTCTATTATTTCGCTACTGTTCTTTGTATAAAGAATGATAACCTTTAATGTGCAGTTGCATAATGTTCAACTTATAAACTTTTAAACATTTTCTCCATTTATATAACGTTTTATTAGATAATTGTTTATGTTTATTTACTCTCTGATAAAAGTTGGATGATATTTGTTCCATACATTGAACTCTGGAAATTAGTTTGGTTTCCAGAAAGAATCATCGACTGTAAAATCAAAATATCCTGCCAATCTCCTGTGTCAGAACCGAAAATATCACAAATTTCTTGTAAATGTTCGTGTAGAACCTATCATTCCAAGCTCTTGAACAACATTGCCAGGAAGATCAAAATACTTCCTTTCGAAAAGCAGAGGACATGTTCGACAAGTAGATACCAGGTAGAAGAAATGAGGAAAAGGAAAAACTGCAGATACCACTAATAATAAGAACATTCGGATGTGCATAACAGTTACGTTGTATTGAACTACAGCATTTCTTGTCTTTGGACTGAATGAGATCGTCTTCAACAATGAATAGCCTCGAGTGAGCCGGAAAAGACCGCTACCTCCAACAACCTGGCATTATCGAAGACTGGATTGTGACCTAGAATACTCAGGGCACTCCCATTGTACAAACCCTCAACGAAAGCAAAACTCAAAACCAAAAGCAATTCACATTCATGTTGAGAAGCAAAAACATACATACCCTGTGCTCCTCACTCAAGTTTTTAAGTAGGTTCTGGCTCTTCAGTTAATGGATCATCTACCATGAAAGTCTTGACAAAGCTACCATTTTCTTTGCTGGTCCAGCAATTCTCACGGGTGTTTGGTTTTCCCCACTTTGAATATTGTGAAAGTAGAAATGCAGGCGGGCCATTTTCTCCATTCTTTTTTCGGATATGATCCCAGGGGATTGCTCAGAGAACTTGCCATTACTAGTGCCGGAAAATGTCAAGAATAAGAGGAGCTGTGTGTGAATAAGAAAAAAGCCGTAGGGGAATGCTAGAAGAGGCTATTTATAGTATTGTGAGCTAGAATTGATGAATATTGTAGCGTGAGATTGGCCTTTTGAAGGGGGTTAATGTGGCAAAATAATTATTACTTGAACTTAGTGTTGCATCAAAAGCAAGAAACAAAGTGATAGTAGAGAGTAATTTTGATGACTTTGAGAGGGCCTCAAATTTCTTGAGTAAGGGGACATGTAGTTTACAGCATTGAGGATGTTATCCTGTCTGAGCTGGTTCAGCTACTAAACATTACTAAGCTTTTTTACTTGAACACGATAACATACACAGCTCTTTATCAAATTACAAACCATAATCCGCAACAACAGATAACAAAAAAAGAAGAGAATAATCGATAATAAATGCAATCAGGAGTGCTTATTTTGTCGTAATAAATTTTGTGTCAATTGTGTCCCCCAAATTTTAGAAAATTTTAATCAATCTTTGAATCTATATTTGGTATGAATTTTGTAAACAAATTGCACTAAACAAAGTTCCCAATTGAGAAATCAAAATTATTTGGAAACAACATTAATTGATACAAAATCTTCCTTGCAGTCAAAATTGATACTACTCCAATTCAAGGGTCCATGTTTAGGTTCGCCCACCATTTGGCAATGCAGTTACGACTAGAAATAAACACAAGATTGAAGTATTTGATTAGGTTAAATCACACATTTATTTCACATGAGTCCACTAAAAAACTGAGGATCAACCTCAGTTTTTGAAAAACAATTTATAATTACTTTTTTTGTCCGTGTTTTTTTCTTTTTCACCGACACTGCTAACACTACTAATTAATTAACACAACTTTCCCAACCTGAACTAACATCTTCTATTCCTATCCTCTCTATTCTCTATACACGAGTTGATTGATTCAAATTTTTCTCATTACTCATCTATTATTGCTATTACTTTCTTTATTTTTCTTTGGTCAACATCAATATAAGCTTTTTTATCACTATTACTATTACAAGTTGAAAAGTCATGCCATATCTCACACATTAAGGGGGGTTCAAGGAATATTTTATATTTAGAAATTATATGTATAACAGTTAGTTATATATTTATTAATTGTTAAATAATTTTATATCATGTATTTTTTTTAAAAATTATATATCAATTACATACCTAAATTAAATAATGTAAGGTACTATGTAACAATTTTATTTCCAAAGCTGAGTTTTTAGTTTTTTATTAATCGGCGTGGTTAATAGATTAAATACCTGTTTAACTAGAGGTTATATATATATATAGTGTTCTTTTCAATAATTTTTAATCATACCTTGTATAAAAAACATATTAACTAAACACAATAAATTATTTTTTTCAATTATAATTTCAAATTTAATTTTAATCAAACACATCAAAATTAAAAACAAACCTCACAAAAAACACTTTTTATTAAACTACTTTTTTAAAATCACAACCACAACAATAATCACAACAACAACCACAAAATCAAATAAACTCTTTCTAAAAATCTTTAAAATTTAATTCAGAGTTTGTGAAAATTTTGGAGTTACAATAAAGAGACAATTTTTTTAAGAACTTAATTGAAGATTAATTTGATGATTGCTCCTTTTTTTTTCTTTTCTTTTCTATAAGAAATTCTTATGCTTCTGGGTCTGAATAGTAGAATACATACTATATAATGCCAAGCATTTACTGTCTGTCTGTACATCAAGTTCAGCAATATTAATTTCTTGTTCATATAAAGAATTAATCTCAGATACAGAATAACATATACAGCCACTAAAAATTGTATGTCAGTATATGATAAGTTTTTCTTCATTAGAGATTTCTTGTTCATGTGACACAGGGTGAACTGCAACTTGTCTTGGTCGTACTGGCTTAAAGCTAATTTATTTGGGTTTTACGCTTCATTATTCATGATTACAGCTGAAGTATTACCAATTTTTTATTTTTTATTGTTTCCCAGTCATCTCGCAAGCTGTCTCTGTTCAAGTAAGCTCAGTTTGCTTGTCAGCATTCTTGCCACATTATTTCAAGTTGTTCTTGAACTCAAATCTCGATCCGGTATCAACCCCTGCGGCATCTTGTTTATACGTTGTGATAAGAAAGGAACATTATTTTTATTTTATTTTTTAAATAGCACAACTCACAAAAATCTTTTGCAATTTTGAATGGCTAAAAAAATTTAAAAGATCAAGTCAGGCAACCCATAAAAAATTAAGAGAGTTGCGCTACAAAGAATAGAACAACCTCTTTAAAAAACAATTATGGAGATGGCGTCTACGTACATGGGTGTAGTGCAATATCCACGTGTTTTTAATGTGTATATTGATAAAAAGCATCAAGAATATTCTTTCACTCTATTGATCTAAAAACTGTACACAAGTAGATAATTCTAATCTAGATAGGTAATTGTTCTTATACATGAATATAGTTTAATCAGAGGTAACGTCAAATCCTAAATTTCTCCTTCAAATATTCTGCTACAATTTCTCCCTCAGCAATAACTCACACCAACATATACATGTGAAAATCACAAGCTTCACTTTTTTTTTGTGAGATGCGTTATTTCATCTTTATTTGAAATTATGATAATAGTTACGGTTTAATATATTTGTTGTATAAAAATAATAATTTTTTATTTTTAAAAAATTATTTTTAATATTAACAAATCAAAATAATCTTAAAATATAAAAAAGTAAATTACTTAAATCTTTCCAGCTTTTAAAGCCGCGCGATTCAAAGGAGCACAAACTTTGAAAATTTGAATTTGAAGGGCTGCACTATTTCTAGCTGTGCAATTACATGAATTATTTTTCTAACTTTAAGGGTTCTAATTTTCTCCCTTGAATAATGGATCGATGACCTAAGAATTAAGTTTAGATTGAAAATCTAATCTATCAACTTCTTGTATTGTTGATGAATTTTTCATGTTGAAAATATGGGATCAAGGCAGCTATAGTTTTTATAATTTTCTGCAAAACGTCAATGGGAGAAACAGAAGGATGGGCCTAGGTCTTCGCCCGCATGTGGAGCTACAGAATGGTCAACCCCACTCTTTAAAGTAAGCGACAACTTGCAAGTCAATGCTCATTGGCCCACCTGCTGGAAAGTTTGCTCGATTTCTGTAGCTCGACAGCAATCCTACTTTAATTTTATATTCATCCACTAGAATCTCCAACTCAACTATGAATCTATCCAACTGAAAGTTCTTTCATCCAAACTGATCTCAAATCTGTGCGGCTCTTCTTTTCCAATACACTTCGACTTTTTTCTTCATAAGATTTCATCTTTTTATCCAGCACCTTCTCTCAAAGAGGAGAAAACATGGCTCTGGCATTGATTGGAGAATCACTTCTCTCAGCTGTCATTGAGGTTTTGGTCGACAAGATAACCTCCTTACATTCAACTTCTTCAAAAGGCAAAAGTGTTACAATTCGATTCTCATATCCACGATGGACACGTAGATAAGATTTTTCTTCGATATTTGCATAGTTATAGAATCCAAATATATATACAAACTTATTTTTTAAATAACTAAATTATAATTCAACACAACAATAACAACAAAACTAATTTTATAATATAATATAATTATTTTAATACAAACAAAACTAACTTTATAATATAATTTGCACTCAGACCAGCCCACGCAAATTGAGCTAATGATCCAGCTCGTGGCAACCATAGACTAGTTATTGTGTATGAGCACAAATAACCAATTAATTAATTAGTCAGTTACTGTACACATGCAAAGTAACCGAGTAATTACCTTCTTGTTTATATATAGAACATGCACAATACATATTTCACATGCAAGAAGATGAACAGTGAACAAAGACGAGGGGAAGAGAAGTACCTGGGTGATGAGCTCGGATAGATGAGTTGACAGTGATGCTAATGGCCGTTCTCAATGGTATTGCGGTGGCAATGGCTAGGAAGCCCAATGACAACGGCTGTATGCTTCTTCTTCACAGTGTAGAGATATTAGTCTCTGCGTCTTCTCCCCTTTCTCGGTTTGCTCCTCTTTTTTTTTCTTCCTTCCTTGCGTCTATCTTCCTTTCTGGTCTCTTTTTTTGTTTGCTTTCTATTCTCTCTTTAATTCTTTTTCTTTCTTTCACCTTCCCTTTTCCTCCTCTGTTCTCCCTTTTTTTTTTCTTTCCCTTTCTCTATCGTCTTCTTCATTATGTCCTCTCTCCTTTTTTTTTCTTTTTTTCCTCTCTAGTTCACTCTTTTTTCCCTCTTTTCTCTCTCTTTATTCCCTTTTTTTTTCAAGCAATTCTTCCCCCCTCTCCTATTTTTTCCCCCTCTTTTTTTTGTCTTTCCCCCTCCTTTTCTTTCTTTTCTTTTTTCATTTTTTAATTTCTGCCTCACTTTCCCTCCTCTTTTTCTGTTTTTCATTTTTTAATTTATAGGAGGCCAGGGGAGAGAGAGGAGCTAACTTGCCTCTGTCCCATCTTGGAGACAGGGTAGGGTGGTTGAGGCGCCAGTCGCCTCAGCCGCTCGTAGGGCTCCTCTGTCCATTCTTCATTATGAGGGGTGTGGGCTGTGCTAGGTTTCATGCAAGTGGGGGGCTCTGTCGGGTTTGTTTTGGGGTTTTGGGAGAGAAAATGAGCGGGAAAATGTAGGGGAAAAATCTTTTATGTCCTGTAGGGGAAGAAAAAGACTTATGGTACTGTTTAAAATAATACTGTTTACTTCTTTCTCTTTTTTTTTCTTTTAGTGAAATATATGAAATAACGCTATTTTGATCAAAACAGGTCGTTTTATTTAAACGAAAACTAGCGACAAAATACATCAAATTCCAAATCAGTCCTTCAACTTGCTGTTTTTTTCATTTTGATTCTTGGTTTTGGATTTCTTTAATTAAGTCTCTAATTAACCATCAAACTTCAATATTTATGCAATTAACCCCTTGATATGACAAAATCTACTCTAAAAAATTATAATTTGACCCCAAAACTTTAATTTATTTTTATTAAAACCTAAATTGACTTAAAAATCAATTTCTCTTGCAATCAAACCCTCCATAAATTCAATTAAATCTTCAATAAAATTTAATTAAGTCCATAAATATCTGATTTTGAACTTTTTTCCCTTAAATTGAATTTTCTTTGTCAATAGAGTTTTTATCAGTTAAATATATATTGTTCAATTTTAATTTTTATATTTTTAAACTTTCTCAATCAATTTCTGACTATTTTCTAGGCGTTTCAGTATCCTATTTTCACTATTATTATTTTTTAGATTTTTTCTTACTATATTTTTTTTATATAAAGATAAAAAAATAGATTACAACGAAATTTTTAAGAGCCACACGATTCAAAGGGGCACAATCTTTGAAAATTTGAATTTCAAGGGCTGCACTATTTCTAGCTGTGCAATTACATGAATTACTTTTCTAATTTTAAGGGATCTAACTTTTCCCCTTGAATAATGGATCGATGACCTAAGAATTAAGTTTAGATTGAAAATCTAATCTATGAACTTCTTGTATTGTTGATGGATTTTTCATGTTGAAAATATGGGACCAAGGCAGCTATAGTTTTTATAATTTTCTGCAAAATTTCAATGGGAGAAGCAGAAGGACTGGCCCAGATCTGCGCCCGCATGTGGAGCTACAGAACGGTCAACCCCACTCTTTAAAATAAGCGACAACTTGCAAATCAAGGCTCATTGGCCCCCCTGTTGGAAAGTTCGCTCGATTTCTGTAGCTCGAAAGCAATCCTACTTTAATTTTATATTCATCCACTAGAATCTCCAACTCAACTATGAATGTATCCAACTGTAAGTTCTTTCATCCAAACTAATCTCAAATCTGTGCGGCTCTTCTTTTCCAGTACACTTGGACTTTTTTCTTCATAAGATTTCATATTTTCATCTAGCACCTTCTTTCAAAGAGGAGAAACCATGATGGCTGTGGCATTGATTGGAGAATCACTTCTCTCTGCTGTCATTGAGGTTTTGGTCGACAGGATAGCCTCCTCAGAGGTTAAGAACTTCTTCAAAAGGCAAAAGCTTGACGATGGACAGCTGAGGAAATTGAAGTCTACCATGAGAGCAGTTGGCAAACTTCTCAGTGATGCAGAGGAGAAGCACATTACTGATCCAGCAGTGAAAGGGTGGCTCGACGACCTCAAGGATGCTCTCTACCAGGCTGATGACTTCTTGGACGAGATTGCTTATAAAGCTTTGCAATTGAAATTTGAAGCTGAACCTCAAAGTGAGACCTGCTCAGATCAGGCGCGGAGCTTCCTCACTTCTCTTGTTCCATGTAAGAAGGGGATGGGAGAGATGCAACCGGAGTTAGAAAAGATCCTTCAGATTCTTCAAGACTTGTTGCAACAAAAAGTTGACCTTGGTTTAATAGAAAGCGTTGGAAGAAGACCACTTCTGTCATCACAGAAAATACCAACAACTGCTCTGGTAGATGAATCTGATGTTTTTGGCAGGAAGGTTGACAGGGAAAATATAATGGCATTGCTGCTGCCAGACGACTCAGAAGGAAGGCAACTAGATGTGGTTCCAATTGTGGGTATGGGCGGGATGGGTAAAACTACCCTTGCTCAGCTTGTCTACAGAGAAATCGAACTCTTAGAAGACAGATATGGGACGAAGTTGTTTGATCTCAAAGCATGGGTCTATGTGTCGGAAGAATTTAATACTCTCAAGGTTACAAGAGATATTCTCAAGGAGGTCGGTTTGCCAAAGTGCGATAACATGACTGAGAATCAGATTCATAGCGAGCTAGAGAAAAAATTGAGGGGGAAAAGAGTTTTGCTTGTTTTAGATGATGTTTGGAGTGAGGATCAAGCGGCTTGGGATTTTTTTCTGAAACCGTTCAAGTCTGTGAGAAAAGGAAGTAAGATCTTAGTCACGACGCGCAACGAAAATGTAGCATCAGTCAAGTCTACTTTTCCATCTCATCGTTTGCAGAACTTGTCCGATGATGAGTGCTGGCTGGTGTTGGCAAAAGTTGCATTTGATGGAGGAAATTTCAGCGCATATCCAGGGTTGGAAGAAGTTGGTAGAGAAATAGCAAAAAAGTGTAGCGGCCTACCTTTGGCTGCAAAAACACTTGGAGGTCTCCTGAGATCCAAAAGAGAAGGCAAGGAATGGAGGAAAATATTGAAAAGCAATTTGTGGAAGTCACCAAATGACAAAGTCCTTTCAGCTCTACAGTTGAGTTATCATTGCCTGCCATCGTATCAAAAACAATGCTTTTCATATTGTGCGATATTTCCCGAAGGCTATGAATTCAACAAGAAAGACCTGATCCTTTTATGGATGGCAGAAGGCTTTCTAGTTCAACCCGGAGGAAATAAGGAGATGGAAGAAATAGGGGCTGAGTTCTTCGATGATCTTGTATCGAGATCATTTTTACAACAATCAAGTCGCGATCCATCATTATTCATCATGCATGACCTCATGAATCATTTAGCTGCTTTCATATCTGGAGAATTTTGCTTCCGGTTGGAGGGTAATGGCTCAAGCAACACTTCTCAAAGGACTCGCCATTTATCATGCATATTAAAAGAACATGACGTCTCTCAAAAGTTCGAGGCCTTTTGCAACCCTCGTTTGTTGCGCACCTTAATATTATCAAAAGATAAATCAATATCTGCTGAGGTAATATGTAAACTTTTGCGGATGCTTGAGCGCCTAAGAGTGTTGTCTATGCCCCCCTATATCTTTGAGCCTTTACCATTTCTTGATTCAATTGCCAAGTTGAAGCATTTGCGATATCTGAAACTTTCTCGGACAGACCTTACAAAGTTACCAGAATCTATATGTGGTTTGTATAATTTGCAAACTTTAATCTTGATATGGTGTTTTAGGCTTTATGAGTTGCCTGCTGGCATGGGAAGGTTGATCAACTTGCGGCATCTTGATATCACTGG